GATGATAGACATACTGACCAAATTTGGCTTCTAGCCAAATTGTTGGTGGTTTATGTCTGTCCACCCAGAAGAGAGACCTGATGATAGATTTCCAAAAAATTTACCATTAAATTGCCATGGAACACAGTTCTGCTCATCATACATGGGGTCACTGTGGACTAGAGTCAACTCAGTAATAGCTGGGATTTTTAAAAATATAAGTTAGAAGGTATAATGAGGCAGTTCAAGAACATGAAGACAATAATAAGACAGACTGATTGATATTTATGGTATGCTTCTTATTGGTTGCACATAGGTACAGAAACCAGTTAAGTGTGGCTGCTGTGGTACTCATCCTCTGTTGGGAATAGCAGAACATATGTCACGCACACACATGGGCACTCCTGTCCTTACCCAAGGCCTCTGGGATCAGTGTTCAGGTAACCTCAAGTTGCCTTGGTGACTAAAAGTGCAATTCAGACTTTAAAAATAGGATCCAAGGCTGTCGCATGGCCTGTCTCCACTTCAACATCTCAATGCTGAATATTTCCAAAGGAAATTGCCTATCACTACATTCTTTTTCAGTGCCTATGACCAAAAATAGCTCCTGTATTCTATTAATAACTAATCATGCACACAGCCTGGATTGTTGTTTCTTGTATTTAGTGGAGGCACTGTTGTTTTATTGTTGTTGTGTACTGTCAAGTTGGAACAGACCCAGAGCTGGCCCTCCGGCAGGTTTTCAAAAGTAGTTAATAGCACAGGAAGAGATTGCCCATCCTCCCATGGAGCAGCTCGTGGCCTCAAACTGCATGCCTTTGGGATTGCAGTACAGTTTCTTGCCACTAGGCCACCAGGCACTAGACATGAAAAAGAGCATCTGACTGCGGTTGAGCCACAGGTTAAAGTAAAGCAGGCATGGCATTGTGTATGCATGCTAGTATAGGACTCAGTAAGGCACCTTATCGAGTGTTTTCTGCTACCTTCTACTGCCATTGGCCTTTAGTGACTATAAGGACAGACAGTTTGCGGGCATCATTGCTTGAGAGAGAGCTCAAGCAAAACTTTCTTTCCTTAGCCCTTCTCTTTTAGGGATGAAAATGGAAGAAAAGATGGGCCAGCAGTTCTGTAGCTTTGCTTGCTTGACTCAGGGCTCCTCAAGTCTTCTACCCACTGACTCAAGACAACTAGGGTACCTAGGCCTCCCTAGCCTTGTCCAGTCCTGTGACCATAAGCATAGGGAGCTGGGAAATATTTGAGGGACAGGGCAATTGTCCATAAGAGCCTACTACTAGGCAGAAGTAGTGGGATGGAGAAAAGAGTGGATAGGCCAATATCTATTGGTATGAAGCTGCTATGGTGAACAGAGCATAGAGAAAGGAGGATGTGAGTCTGAGTGATAAGGAGGTGTGGGGCATCCTGTATGTGAGGTTTCAGATGGCTCTCAGGTGACAAGAAGAGCAAGTGAGTTGACATCCAGAAGGGAGGCCAGGACTGGGGCCACTGATCAGGACCATCAAAAGGGAAGACCTGAGGCCATTACCACAAAAGGTCAAGTCTAGGGTGGCAAGGTTTGATTCTTTAGTGAAGGAAAACCAATGAAGTGTGTGTGTGTGTGTGTGTGTGTGTGTGTAAAAACTCAAAATCATTGCCTTTGAGTTAGTTGGCCCTCCAGTGGAGTTTTAGAGGCCATAAATCATATGGGAAGAGATTTCCCATCTTTTTTTGCACAGTGCAACTAATAGATTCCAACTACCAGAGAGATGCCACCTTGTGTTGGCAGTGCAACTCTCTAATGACCAGAGTTCCCATATATGTACTCCCTGTGGACCAGATCTGTGTGTGTGTGTGTGTGTGTGTGTGTGTGTGTGTGTGTGTGTGTGTATACACACACAGACAGACACAAAGAGACAGAATTATTTGTCAGCAAACAAGCAGAGTCTTGTGCTGCTGCTTTGGATGGTATTGGCTTCAGAGGATGTCTAAAGGCTGTTGTTGCAGAACAGGGTCATAGACCTGCATCTTTGGATATTGACAAGTCCAAAATCAGCAAGTGTTGCAGGCCTCTAGTTCAAGTCTAGAGACACTAGATAGATATGTTGTTGTTATATGCTGTTGAGTTGTTTGTAACTTATACTAACCCTATGTGTTGTAACTTATACTAACCCTATGTGCAACAACTCTTAACCCTGCTCTATCTTGAGTCAGTTTTATTGTCTCTGACTCACCTACTCCTATTACCCCAGTCACTGAGTCAATTTATCTCAAATATCCCCAGTTTTCTTAGTTTCCCTCCAACCCCATTATCAGTCCTGTTTTATAACAGTGGCATTATGCAGTATTTGTTCTTGTGTGACTGAGATATTTCACTCAGCATAATGTCCTCCACAGTCACCCACTTTGTTTTTCATGAATTCCTTTTTTCAGTGCTGCATAGTATTCCATTGTGTGAATATACCACAGCTTCTCTGTCCATTTGTTTGTTGATGGGCCCTTGGGGTTGTTTCCACCTCTTTGCTATTGTGAACAACACAGCAATAAACATGGGTGTTCATATATCTGTTTGGGTGGCAGTTCTGGTTTCTTTAGGGTATATTCCCAGTAGTGGAATCTCTGGGTCAAATGTTATTTTTATTTCCAACTTTTTGAGAAAGTACCATATTGCCTTCCAGAATGGTTGCACCATTTTACACTCTCACCAATAGTGGATAAGGGTCCCAGTTTCTCCACAACCTCTCCAGCAGTTGTTGTTTGCTGCTCTGTTGAATTTGGCTATTCTTACTGGGGTGAGATGATATCTCATAGTTGTTTGGGTTTGCATCTCTCTTAGAGTTAGAGATTTTGAACATTTCTTCACATGTGTGTTTGAGATCTGAATGTCTTCTTTGGTGAAGTATCTGTTCATACCCTGTGCCCATTTTTAATTGGGTCTTTTACCTTTATCTTGTGGTGCTTGAGTATTCTATAAATTATAGACATAAGTTCCTTATCAAACATGTCATTACCAAATATTCTTTTCCTGTCTGTGGCTTTCCTTTTCACTCTAGCGGAGATGTTTTTCTATGTGCATAGGGATTTGATTCTTAGAATGTTCTACTCGTCTATTTTATCCTTTCTTTGTTGTAGGTTTTTCAGGATGCTTTGAAGACTTTCATGTTGTGGATTAGGGCTTCTAGAATTCTTCCAAGGTTTTATCTGACAAAGTTTCTAGTCCTTGGTTTACTCCTAGGTCCTTGATCCATTTTGAATTGGTATTTGTGTATGGTGTGAAGTGTGGGTCTTGATTGAGTTTTCTGTAGATAATTTTCCAGTTTTGCCAACACCATTTGTTAAAAAGGCTGTCATTTCCTTACTTCACTGATTTCATCTCCTTGTCAAAAATCCGTTGACCATAGGTAGATGGGCTGATTTCTGGGTTCTCAGTTCTATTCCGTTGCTCTATGTGTCTGTCATTGCACCAGTACCATGCTGTCTTGACCACCACAGATGGTAGTGTACTAGAATTTGAAATCAGGGAGTGACATGCCTCCTCCCTTGTTTCTCTTTTTAAGGAGTGCTTCCCTATTTGGGTTCTCTTTCCATTCCAAATGAAACTGAAGATTGCCTTTTCCATCTCGTTGAAGAATGGAATTGGTATTTGTATTGGGATTGCATTGAACTTGTTGATTGCCTTTGGTAGAATTGTAATTTTCACAATATTGAGTCTTCCTATCCAAGAGCAAGGTATATTTCTCCAGGTCTGTTTGTTTCTTTTAGTATTGTTTTGTAAATTTCTTTGAATAAATCCTTTGTGTTTCTATTTAGATTTACTCCCAAGTATTTAATCTTGTAATTAGCAATTGTGATGGGTATTGCTTTTCTTAGCTCCAGTTCTGTATTCTCTTTGTCACTGTAGAGAAATCCAATTGATTTTTGTATGTTGATCTTGTATCCTGCTACTTTGCTGAATTGATCAACTATGTCCAATAGTTTTCTTGCTGAGTCTTTAGGGTTTTCTTATAAGTATACTATAATATCATCTGCAGAGAGAGATAATTTTACCTCCTCTTTGCTAATTTGGATACTTCTTATTTCCTTCACTTGTATTCTTGTTATTGCTAAGACTTCCAATACAATATTGAATAGGAGAGGTGACAGTGGGCATCCCAACCTAGTTCCTTTTCTCAAAGGGAATGCTCTCAATCTCTCTCCATTGAGAAAAATGTTGGCTTTTGGGTTTGCATATATAATTTTTACTATGTTGAGGAAATTTCCCTCTATTCCTATTTTGTTGAGTGTTTTTATCAGGAAAGGGTGTTGAATTTTGTCAAAGTCCTTTTCTGCATCAATTTATAGGATCATGTGGTTCTTGTTTTTGTGCTGTTAATGTGATGATGAATTACACTGATTGTTTTTCTTATGTTGAACCATCCTTGTATAGCTGTTATGAATCCCACTTAGTATTGATGAATTATTTTTTGATGTATCGTTGGATTCTGTTGGCCAGGATTTTATTCAGGATTTTTTTCCTTAATTCTGCATTTTATATATGTGCATTTGTTTCATTTTTACAATTATAAATTGGTCTGTTTTTGACAACAGCATTTTTAATAGTTTTCAATCAAGAGATGTTGCTTTCAATTAGAAACATTGTGTGTGTATATATGTATATATAAAAATAACCCAACATATGACTGATCTAACAGATTTTAAGATCAATAAAGGCTTATTTTTGAACATGCAGTTAGGAGAGAGGCAAGTCAACCCCTCTACACTGTCTTCTTGCTGGCTTGTTTTTTGCAGTGGTATCAATAGTGGTTTCTGGAGGGAACCATGTGCCCTCTGCCTATCTCAATAAAAAGTTTCACACTTAATACGAGAGTTGGGGGAGAAATGGGAGTGGGCAAATGTCAAATTTTAAAAGTATGCCTTCACACTGTTCTAGGGGAAGGATTAAAAAACAGGCCAATAGGGGGCTGGGGGGAAATCATAATTGGAGAATGGGGGGCAGACCTGCAATTAAATAAAAATGTAACAGCCGAATTAAGTTTTTTTAATAAGGCTGCATATATAGATGTTTAGCCACACTCTTTGATCCACTCTTTAAGAGTAGAACTTTATGTCCAATTACATGCTTCAAACAAGCTTTTCTTATTTGTTACAGTAAGGAAGGCCATGTATCCAAATTTTGACTTGTACACTGAGAGCTTTAAGAAAAACAGGACATGAAGGGAGTTGCCATTTTTTCTTAGCAGCAATGAAATATCACTAACCCCTTCGTACATACCGAATTCAAGTCACTATCAGAGGTGAGTGTACCACAAAGTCACCAGGTACAAAATTCTAGTTCATTTTTTAAATTAATAACTTGAAATTACCCCACCCGCCCCACCCTATTACATCCCTTCTTTTAATAAACAGCAAACATTTTGCTATTCATAGGCTAACAGGCTTGTTTCAATATGAAAGTGCTAATTCATTTACAGATTTTTTTTAAAATCAGTTATGTAGTGCTACAAGAAATGTCCAATAATCTACATAGGAACAATTTCTGATGGATGGAAATGAGAAGACTGAATAAGGCTACCAGATTACCTTACCTTATTTACATGTAAAGAATAGATACCCAATGGTGTAGAAGAGATAGAATTGGACAAATAACTCATAGGTGTAAAAATTACATCTACCTTTGAGCTTATACTGTAAATGAGACATTTTAAATAGTCCTGTAGCCCATGCCTATTTTTTCCTCAGAAAAAGAAAAGCTGCCTTCATGACATTCCCTCTTGCACACAGAATTCCACAGTGTCATTTGAAGCTTCAGAATCAGAATCTTACTTTCTTCAAAAAATAAAATCCCCCCTAAATTATTCCCTCCCCCCAAAATCCCTCTGGGTTTTTTCTTTCCAGTGCCAGGTTGCATGATCAGGTCCCACTTGGGTTTTTCTGTCCAATCTATTGATGGACATGAACCAGTTCTGGAACCACTACTAGGAGGAACACAAGCTCTTCACTACAAACACACAGCAGGAAAGAAAGTAATAACCCAATTCATCCCTGGTGCCGGGCCTCCAAAATTGAAAGAACTTGGCACAACTGGAGCACTGAATTTGTATCCTCCATACTTCTCAATCATTTTGGATTCATGGGCTGCTCTTCTTTGATCTGCCAGAGTTTCAATATCCTGTAACTGTATTCTTTGTTCCTCATTAAGACCATGAGTCAGAGCCTGGTACCATACAGGATTACGATTCTGAATAGTTTGGAATATAGCTTTAAATATCTGATACTCATCAACAGGGTTGTCTTCATCATCAATGATTGTGGAATAGCCTTCCAGAGCAGTCTCTTCAGCATCGTCTTCTTCCCAATCTTCATCATCTCCATCTTCACCTGCCTGCTTAGCCAGAATCTCCAGATATTCCTGGTTATCTTCATCAATATCATCTTCATCACTTCCTAGTTCCTCTGTTTCATCATCATCTTCACCTTCATCGTCATCCTCACTGTCATTCTCGTGTTCTGCATGGCAAGCATATGCTCTTTTTAATCCATTAAATAAAAGGATAAATGCTGGCAAAATCTGTCCCGAAACCTGATTTAAAACCTGGGGTATTTGTTCCATATCAATAAGAGCACAGAAGCCCAGAACACACATCTTTCTGTCATGAAGCCCCAAGAAACAATCAACATCATTAAGCCACTGTGTAATAAAATGATTTGTAACTGGTTCAACATTATTAGGAAAGCGAAGATTTTCTAAGGTATTCAGCAGTAGGTGAGGATTATAATACAACGCTGCAATAGCAACTTGCAGGCACATTGTTCGAAGTTCACTCGTCTTAACTTCTCTGGTCAGTCTCTCTAAGGCAGCTTCCACAAATAAGGGAATGCACTGATCAATGCCATGTCCTTTGCACTGCAGAATGATGACCTCCAATAATTTTGCTGCATGACATTGTGCATCTTCTCCTGCAACTCCTGTAAGAACCTTTTTGCACATACTATAGATCATTTCCAGATACTTTGTATCAGATAAAAGTGTATCTGTATCAACTGTTACATAATTATGAAGCAGAGGCATCATATCTGTAAAGTAATCAAAGCCATCTTGCTGAAAGACCTCAAACACAAGAGGTAGTAGTTGCCACATCTGTGGAGACACCTGTTGACAAGTCAAACTATGTGCTAATGAGAAGATCTCCTCATAGAATTCTAAGACATGCTGTTGTAAAACAGTACCAATGACCTGTAAGCAGATCCCCTCAAGTTGCTGGGTTATCTCTTTATGATCTTCAACTACACTAAGAAGTGTGTCAATTGTATTCAAGATTCCCATAGCAGTAACAGCTTTGTCATCACTTCCTTCTTCATCTGGCCCAGTCTGAATTACCTGATTAAATGTCATTGCCAAATGTTGTGTCATTTCTACTGCAATAGGAGTTACTTCTTCACTATACTCGCAGATCATTTTCTGAATTACATTGGTAAGATCATCATTTTCAGTTTCTCTTATAATGTGAAGAAGAGCCTGCATAACAGGTCTAATGAATGGAGTGATATATTCTTTAGCTTTTTCTTGATTGCTGATCAACACCTGAAGTGCAATAGCAGCCTCCACTTTCACAGGCATTTCCCTATCCTCTATCAGACATCCTCTTGTTAGTTCTAAGGCTGTTTGCAGGTTCCGGTCGCTTTTGAACTTTACTTCACAAAAATAATGAAGGACCCAGCAAGCCCTTGCTCTCATGTATCCTAGTTCACTGCTGAAGAGAGGGAATACATGATTCTGCAACATGTATTCCATCTGATCTTTGTAGATCTTTTTCTTCAGAAGTATTTCTGCTAAAGATCCAATCATATGCAGGGCACCATCTTTTTTTCGAGGATCAGCATTTTGTTCTGTAAGAATCTGATAGCAAAATCCCATAGTCTTTTGCAGAACCTCTTTTCTCTTACTACACGCTGTAAACAAAAGTGTCTGGGCAGCAGTGGTAGGAGAAATGAAATCTTCAAATACATCAAACTTCATACGTATATATTCATAAGGGTCTTCTTGCCAAAGTTCTTCATCAGCATCTGTATAGCACATCAATGGAAAAATAACATCTTGGATAATGCCTTGTATATGAGGCTTCAGATTTTTCCAGGTGAGGGCATGGGAAACTCCTTGATCAATGTAATTTAATGTCTGTTGCAAAACTTGAGGAGCCATGTATTGCTTTTCCTTGTACTGATATAATACCTTCAATAAAACTTGCTGGACCCCAACAGCAAATGCTTTCAGAAATACTTCAGCAAATTCATTATACTCCTTGGAAACATTGCCAGGACTTCCATATCTTTCAAAAAGCCTTGCTAAGATATGTAAAGCCCACTTCTTACATTTCCACCATGGCAACTCGGGTCTATCATCTTCTTCAACTTGCAGTGTTTCATTAGGTACATCTCTGTTCACAACCGTCTTTAAAATTTCTATCCATTCGGTCAAATTCTGTTGGTTTATCAGTTCCAAAGGTAGTGTATACTGAACAAGAGCATAGAAAATCTTGAGTATTTGTTTCTGGATTAAGACAGACTGATCTGACTGATCTGGAAGAAGCTGGATAAAACGATCCTTTAGACCTGGCAAGAAATGCTGCATTGCTGCTACCAATGGACTCCGTTCCTCTGGTTTCTTACACTCATAATTTTTCACAAGCTGATAAAGGCAAAGAAGAATGCCTAGCCAGCAAGCACTGTTATCAGACTGAAGATAAAAAGCCAATTTTGTCCACAGTGGCAGTCCAACGGCTTGGATAATCATGTTTGATGATATGGTGAATGCATGTAGTAAGCTGTACCCTTATAAGCTCAGGCAAGTGGATAATGGCTTCTACAATATTTTCTCGAATACAATGTCGATCTTCTTCTGGAATAGTGTAAGGGGATATATCCCCTGGTGCTGTCTCTCAATCAGGCCAATACTGTGTTATCATATTTTTCAAATATATAACACCTGCCTGTCTCACAGGTAATTCCAGTTGTTCCGACATAGTAATCTGAAGCAGTGTTGACACAAAATTCAGAGACTTGTGTGCTTCATTAAGCTGTCACTCCGTGGCCTCACGCAGGGCAGGGTCCATGGTGCCCCGAAGGGCCTTGATAATGGTGTTGGGATTCATCGCTGTGCGACACGGGCAAACTGGGAGCTTGGGTGCTAGTGGGCCAGGAACAGTGCCGCTCACTGTGCACATGGACCCGCGGCACTCCGCAGCGGCAACTGGCGCGAAAGGAAAGAGAAGCTCCAAGGCCCCGGATAGAACCTCTCCCTTATTCAGGATTTTTGCATTTATGTTCATGAGAGATATTGGCCTATAGTTTTCTATTTGTTGGTGTCTTTACCTAGGTTTGGTTTCAAGGATATGTTTGCTTCATAGAATGAGTCTGGGAGAATTCCATCTTTTTATGTTTTCTGAAATGGTTTATGTAGAATTGGTGACAGTGTTTTTCTGACTGTTTGATAAAAGTTACTTATAAAATCGTCTGGTTCAGGGCCTTTTTTTTCTGGAAGCAGTGTTATTACTTTGTCTATTTCTTTTTTTGTAATGGGTCTGTTGACACATTCAATTTCAGTCTGTGTTACATTTGGAAGCTGAACAATACCTTGCTTGAACATGAGTAGCTACTAGAAGAAATAAAAAATGAAATAAAAAGTTTCCTGACATAAATTACAATAAGAATACAACTTAACCAAAATCTCTGGGAAATAAATAGCCAAAGCAGTAATCAGAGGTCAATTTATAGCAATAATCAAAGTTATCAAAAGGCAGGAAAAAAATGACCATTGACTCTCTAACCCAACATCTCAAATAAATTGAAAAAGAACAGCAAAAAAACCTGACACTCTCTAAAAAACCTGAAATTATAAAAAATTAGGGTAGAAATAATGAAATAGAAAACAGAAAAACAATCGAAATCATCAACAAAACCAGGAATTGGTTTTTCGAAAAGGTCAATAAAATCAACAAACCACTAGCAAACCTAACAAAGGAAAAGACACAAATAATCTGATTAAGAGATGAAACGAGCAATATCACAGCAGAACCAACTAAAATAAAAGGGCTACCAATGGAATATTATGAAAAACTGTACTCAAACAAATATGAAAACCTAGAGGAAATGGACAAATACTTAGAAACTCACAACCTACCTAAACTGATCACCTTTTTTTGGAATGGGAATAAATAGGAATCTCTTCCAATCAGTTGGCCAGATGGTTGTCCTCCAGATTTCGTGGCACAACTTGTTGAGAGTGTCCAGTGTCTGGTTGTTGAAATATGTCATTTGGTATGCTGTCAATTCTTGGAGCCTTGTTTGTTTTTTTTTTCCAATTCTTTCATAGCAGCTTAAACTTTTTCCTTCATCACCACTGCCTCTTGATCATATGTTGTTTCATGAAATTCTTCTGTGTCAGCCAATTCTTTTTGGTATAGTGGCACTAAAGCTTTTTACCAGAGTCCAAACATACATATCATGCAGGCCATACACTGAGAAGATCTCTTCATCAGAAAAGGCCGATTATATCTTTACCAATCCACTTCTATTCATGGCTCATTAACATCATACAGATTAAAACTAACAACACCTAAGTTAGTTAATAGTTACAGAATTCAGGGTTCAGATCTTTTGTTCATAGGGTTATTATGAGTTGTGCTTGACAACACTTAACATTTAACAATAACAACAAGAGGATAGTTATATTTAAGGTTTATGGCCATATCAACAAGCCATCACAGTCAGGAAAGTGTATTAGCTTATTAAACCAGGTCCGTGTTCAACTGAACTTTTGTTTGGGGAGATATACTTGAGTTCTTCTCTCAGAGCAGAAGGTCTTTTTCATCTCTGGATTGTTGCATGTGTACATGGAGAGGCAGTCTTGACTTCTGCCGGGAAGACTGGGATGGTTTCTAGCAGAAGGACTAATTGGGCAGTCATCACATACCTGAGGCCTCTTATAGCCATTTACACAACTGAAATTAATGTTAAGCTCCTTACCAGGATTAGGAGGTTGGTTCTGCTCATCCATTCTCTTGACCTGTAATCTGCCCATGTTCTCTCTTCCAGTATGCTCTCTGCCATGACTGTCTCCCTTCATGGCTAACGTTCCTCTTTAGATCTCAGTAGCAATAACACTTTTTTTGTGCTTAAACTTCTGTGCTATTTCTTCATGCACAGTCACTTTTTGATGTCTTCAGTTTCCTGCTATACCACCATAGGCACAAGAGCCCACGCTGTCCATCCTTCTTGTGTACCTAGAGTGACATCCACTTCCAAAATGGCTTGCCTCTGGAAACTCTATGAACAGTGCTCAGGTCTTTAGTTCATAGGGTTGCTATGAGTTGTCTACGACTCGACAGTACCTAACAACAGTAACAGTGACAACTCAGAGAGAGCTCCATTGGCCTAGTGGACAGAAAGTTATGCTACCAAGCCCAAGGTGAGTGATTTTAATCTGCAGCCCTCAGGCCTGGTTTAAATTGTTTTTTTGTCAAACATTCTTCTAAGTGGTATAACACTGGTCTGTGCTTTGCTGTACAGGGGTAACTGGTGATTGCTGTGATGCTAAACACTGTGACACTGATGTGCCAAATGCTATAACGGTTATCCATGGTGGACAGTGTTTGGTGGAGCTTCTCAATTAAAACAAGCTTGGAAGCAGGAGTGGCATCCACTTTTGAAATGGCTTGCCTCCAGAAACTCTATGAACAGTGCTCAGGTCTTTTGTTCATAGGGTCACTGTGAGTCGTCTACAACAACAACAACAGACCCTGGACACTATCAGTCACCTTAGGAATGAGTTGGTTTTCCCTTTGCACCAAAACTATACAAGGATGCTGGCTAGGAATTACAGATAAGGAAATAGGTCAGGGCACCAGGTCTCTTGGAACTGAATCTCACTCTTCTTCTAGGACTTACCTGCCCACTATTGTGTTGCTCACAGTATTTCCCTGATGGATTTTCTGCGCTCTGAGGAGCTTAAGGCTGGCCAGATGTGCCCAGCAGACCTTACTGCTTTGTGCAGGCTGGGTAGAAGAGGTGAATAGGTAACAGACAGTCTGGAGGCTGGGCAGTTGAATGTTAGCCTAACCACCCCTACACACATATCACACATACATAGGTATATATACAAGTACTTAATAAATACATAAACATAATTTGTTGTTAGCTGCCATCAAGTCAATAATGACTGTAAGAACAACAGATTTGAACCTTGACCTGTCCTGTGCCATCCTCATGATCTCTGTTATGCTCAAACCCATTGTGGTAATCAATTCATCTCATTGACACTCTACCTTTCCCAACATGATATCTCTCTCCAAGGACTTGTTCCTCCTGAAAATATGCCCAAAGTGAGTAGAGGTTTCAACATCATTGCCTCAAAGGAACACTCTGATTATATTTCCTTTAAGATAGATTTGTTTATTTTTTGACAGTCCATGGTATATTCAGTACTCTCTTCAATACCACAAGTCAAAAGTATCAACTCTTCATCTGTCATCCTTGTTCATTATCCAATATCCAGAAACAGGAATCAACTGAGGGAAAACCTCTATGGTTTAGCTCAGGCACACCTCAGGCTTTTGTTTTTTCATTTTTATTTTATATTGGTTTGCTTGCAAAGTTTATATACATTGAGTTTCACACTATTTTCAATCATATTGTGTTTCATACTATCATTCCCATGCATTGTTTTATAAAATTAATTACTATTAGACTATGCCCATCAGTACCTTGCCTTGTAGTTCCCCACTGGATCTTTCCCATTTCTTTTACACCCTCCCTCCACCCACTAAATTGTGCAACCCTGTGATTTTGCCCCTACACATTCTTACCCCTCTGCTCCCACTCCTTCCCCTTTGGGTCTCTAGATGTGTTTCACTGGTTATCCTATTTTTACGATAATGGTCTTGTTGCAGTACTTGTCCTTATGAGACTGAGTTAGTTCACTTAGCATCATGCTCCCTAGTCTCTCCTAAGTTATGTAGTATTTTTCAAAATTGTTGCTCTTGATTGCTGCATAGTATTCCATTGTATGAATGTACCAAAATTTCTCAGTCTGTTCAGTTGTGATTGGACATTTGGGCTGTTTCCATATTCTTGCAATGATGAATAACACTGCTCTGAAGATTGGTGTACAAGGCTCTTTGTCTCAGTTATAATTTTCTTGAGGTGTATATTCCTAGTACTAGAATGGCTGGGTCAAATGGAGTTTCTATGTTCAACTTTTTGAGGAAAGCTGAGGTACTTTCCAGAGTGGTTATACCATTTTACAATCCTACCAACAGTGTATGAGTTCCAATCTCTCCACATCCTCTCCAACATTTATTGCTTGCTGCCCTGCTAAATTTTGCCATTGCTACTGGGTTGAGATGGTATTTCATTGTGGTTTTGATTTGCATCTTTCTTGCTGCCAGTGATTTTAAGCTTTTCTTCATATGTCTTTTGGCCTTCTGAATATCTTCCTCTGTGAAGAGTCTCTCCATGTGTCTTGCCCATTTTGTAATTTGGTTATTAGTCTTATTCTTTTGGAGGCCCAGGAGTATTCTGTAAACTCTTGTTTATGAGACCCTCTCCTGAGATATTATGGCCAGGTGTTTTTCCCAGTCAGTAGGTTTGCTTTTCACTTTGTTGGAAAACTTTCTGATATACACAGGAATTTAATCTTTAGGTCTCATTCATTAATTTTATCCTCTCCTGATTGTACATTTCTTGACTTATTTGTAAGCCTCTTTATATGATAGACTAGGCCTTCTAATCTTAGTCCCAGTTTTATAGTTTGGGGCTTTATCGCCAGTTCTTTGATCCACCTTGAAGTGATTTTTGTGCATGATTTGAGATGTGGATCCTGTTGTAGCTTCTGCAGGCAGCAGTCCAGTTTTGCCAGCATCATTTGTTGTCATTTCCCAATTTGATAGGTTTTGTTTCCTGTGGAATATAAGTTGATCATTGATAGCTGGGTCCATTTCTGGGCTCTTTACTGCTGTACTGTTCTGTGTATCTGCCATTGTACCAGAACCGTGAGATCAGGGAGTGCTATGATTATCTGCATATAACAATAGTTTCACCACCTTTTTGTCAATCTGGATGCCTTTTCTTTTGTCATATTGCCCTAGCCAGCACT